TCTTATATGGAGATCTTGAAGAAGACATTTATATGAAACAGCCAAAAGGTTACGAAGATGGAACACAATTAGTATGCAAACTTCAACGGAGCCTATATGGGTTGAAACAGGCACCCAGGTGCTGGAACAAAAAGTTCAAAAATATGCTGGTGAACTTTGACCTAAAGGAAACAAAAGCAGACCCTTGTGTATTCGTAAGCAATAAAAATAATCAATTACTAATTGTCGCTATTTTTGTAGACGATGGGCTAATCGCAGCAACAAACAACGAGCTGGTGGACACAATGGTGAACTACCTAAAGGACAATTTCGAGACGAAGGAAGGTGATCATTTCTTGGGTATTGAAATTGATCAGAGACCTGATGGTTCAATTTTCATACACCAATCTTCATATTGCAAGCGCATTCTAGAGAGGTTCAATAATCAATATGGAAGAAGCAAACGTCCTGCATATTCCCACAGATCCACAACACTCATATACATAATATGTATAATTGATATGAATAACTATAGTGCTCCGATGCGTAATATAAAACAACGACTAATCGTCCTACAGGCTAGTACGTACATATAACGAATACGCTATAGAAATATAAAATGCCTATTTAGCGTCTGCTGTACTACAGTGTGAAATGTGTGAATAATTTGCTTATAATCTATATAATACATGGTGTGTTGTTTACATTCAACAAAAACATCTTTGCGTTTTTAAACAACATTGCAATACTCTTCAAAGTAATCAATAATCAATATCAGTGATTTTATGTATTTATTATTGTGTTTCTGTGTTTCAAAGTTATGAGAGTATGATCAACGCTAGTGACTGTTTCATTAAAAATAACATCAGCTTAGGTATTTATAAGTTGTGCAATGCACTATGTACAACGTCTACGTGTTAGGTTGTAGTCTACTAGTCTGTAGACTGTAGGTATGCAGTATTTACGAAATATGTTTACCTATGTATTTATTTAAATATTGTTACAAAAACTTCTTTTTCAGTCCCTACTTTCAACAATTTCTTATAGATTCCAAACGGAGTGATGAATGTATTGATTTTACAATGACTCTTTTTTTCGAATTTTTTTGTGTCTGTATACTTACAATCTACACGATAAGTAACCGAAAAATGCTTCAATTTTCAACTTCAGTATCTTTGTCGGTAGGAAGGTGAATCTAATTGGTGCATTCAGCACATGCTGCAAATTAAGGAAAACCTGAAATTTTTATACAAAATCGATTTAGGTTTTGTAGTGGTACCTACTTGACAACTTGATTCCGAATAGCGAGTATTGTTTTTTCACTATAATTTTATTTTCCTATACCATTGTAGATGTAGGTAGATATGTAGGCATATAGGTATATTACAGTTTCTTTTTTTAAACCCATTTAAACTTATATTGTTGTCTATAGTAGTCAACAATGTCACGTAACATTTTTTTAAGCAATTCTTATTTTTAAGAAAGAGAGGAAGAGATATGGGTACTGGGTAGGTATAGTCTTTGATGATGAAGCTATTAAAAATAAATATGTTGAAAAATACCTACTTATATGTCCTCTGTAATTACATTTTTCTATAGTTACCGTGACTCGTTAATCATCATATTATAACGATTTCCGAGTTAACAAAATTAATTTTTGAGGGCGATGATAATAATATGCTCTGTCTAATTAAATATTTTTGAGAACCAAATGAATTTAATTATAATTCACAAATTTCTCTTTAATACATTTTTTTTTTGCCAATGAAGGTATGAGACTTTGTAAAAAAAACAAAAAAAAAAATCAAGTTAGGGTAGTGTAAGTGTGTAACCACTAGGTGACTCCTCTTATCACGTTTTCATGTAAATATTTTGTTAAATATCACATATTCTTATTAGTTATTGTTCATAAAGGGTGTATACAGATTGTATATACCTAATGAAGAAAAAAAAATGAGACTTTGTAATATGGAGGTTTTAATATACATAGTAAATAACTTGAAGAAATATGTAATTTGGTTTGCATAGATGATCATAATTTTGGCTCGAATTTAATGCAGTAGAAAAACTTTAAAACTGCATTTCAAATTTCAATCTCAAAAAATTCACTTTAAAATGCATTGTACATATATACTGAAGAATGATAAATTTCACAGCCCTATACAATATTGATTAAAATCTTTAATTTATTTTATTTTATCAATAGAGATATAAAATATAACAGTTATAAAGAGGAATAAAAATATATGATGATTGAGAAATGTGAGAGGCAAAGCCCCTCATGGCTTTGCTTCCTCTTAAATGTGTTGGCAATCAAGACATTTTGCCACTTTCAATCTAATATATCTATAGAAAATTAGAAAATAATGCAAATTTGACGAAAACTTCTAATTCAAAGGTACAAACTGTACAATAAAACAATGCTGTCCGCTGGTAACCACGTCACTTGCGAACGGCTTGACCGATTTGGCTCATTATTTTTTTTTTTATGTTCGTAATAGCCCAAATGAGGTTTTCATGGAAATAAAAATTGAAAAATTATGATCACAAAAAACAGTATCAAGTTTATTACCTCAATCTCAAAACGTGACCCCCTTTATGTAGTACGCTGCACCTACCTAGTAAGGTAATTAGACGTCCCCCTCCTTGGGTATTTTAGTGGTAACGAATAATTATTCCACTTTGAATCAATATATTTATTTTTAAACATAATAATAGGTTGGAAAATAGGTTCTTTGGTTTTACCCGCAGTATACGCTATACGGTAATCTGTCGAGGATCATCATTCACGTTATGTATTTATTACCCAATTTAATGGGTAATAATTGATAAACCAAACTTAAATAATCTTAACTATTAACAACATACTAGTATACTACATAGGTATTGCTTTTAGGTCTCTCAGTATAGTTCGCGGCATTGTGCCGGACGCTTAAACTCGAGTATTTTATTTCTTGTGTATCTATTTTATGCGAATTAAGCATCCAAATATTTAGCTTTTTACCGAAGCTCTACAGATGAGTAACTTAAGTACTTCAATAGAAATGTTTAATTACCGAGCAGGAGCTTTCGTAATAATTTTGGTAAAGATGACAGGTAAAAAAGTTATGTGAACGTTTTTCAAATGATATTTTATAAAAATGTTTTAATTTTGTGAGCTATATTACCAGAATAAAAAATTTTAGGTATTTTTTTATGGCTTTTTAGATTTTGACCGGTGCGATGAATGCATTGATTTGAATTTGACAATGTGTGTTTTTTATTTAGTTTTTTTTTGTCTTTTATCACGGTTTGAGGCTGTAAAAGTGCCTCAATTTTCTCCAACAGCAACTTTTCTGGTTGGAAAGTGAATCTAGTTGGTGCTTCGGGAGGACAAAAATTTTAAATTCCTAATAGTTTTCAAAAGCGAAAAGAAAAACAAACAAAAATTTCAGGAAAAACTAGAATTTTTAAGCAAAACCAGTTTTCGAAAAATTTGATTTTGATTTTTAGTAAACTCTATACACTCTACACATTTTTTTTTATAATCATTCAAAGTTCAAATGTTGACAATATTTATCAAATTTAAAATTTAAAACAAGGTTCCACATAAGCAGTTTTTTCCATAACTAAGAAATATAAAAAATATATGAATGCAGTTATTTTTTACAGACATTTTAAGTTCAGTTTGGACAAAATTTCATATCAACACAAAGAGCAACGTTTATCATTTTGTTGTAATTTGGTTCCAAAACAGCCTCAAATTTAATGGTAAAAATGGTGTGAGTTCCTGGTCCGTTTTTTAGTATTTTAATCTTAAAGCGAGTTATATGCAAGGTAGCGTGTAAAATGCTAAAAATATTAACTTAGATAAGTCAATAGATATGGTCATAGGAAATGGCATGAGTTTGTAGTGTAATTGTATAAATAGCTTACAATTAGTCATAGTATTTTTGAATTGTCTGTGTTTAGAAAACAATGATATGGATTATACCAAAAAGTTAAGTCCCTGCGATTGAAAATTTCTGAAATACATCAAAAATCTAAAGTCTTAATCTAAAGCATCAATCATGTAAAATCATTTGTCAACATTTGAAATTCAAATATCCATAAAAAATTGTACATACCTAATAAGCATTTTTAATATTTATAAATTGCAAGAAGAAAAACCTATGGGGGACCGATCTTATACTAAATAAGTTTTTTTCCGAGGCCTAGAATTTTTATTAACAATGTAAAATATTTTTTGATTGCAATAAATAATTAAAATCGTTTGACAAAAAATTGTTATTTGATGTTAGAATATTGTAAAAATTTAAACTTCAGACACTCAAAAAATATGTATGTATTGTGAAATTACAATCATTTATATTTTTTTTGTAAAGATAATTTTTTTATACAACCTTTAAATGTCATTTAAAAATCTTAGTTATGAATATTAAGAGTTTTATGAATTTTTAACTACAAAATATTTTACAAACTTTTGTGATTTCGATAAATTTTATAAAAATGTATCTTTCTGCACTTGTAAAAAAATCTTGTGATCAATATTTTGTGATTGGTATATGATCAAGTTATTTGGAACTTTATTTTACATTTACAAACATTTTTACCACAAAACAAAATTTATATGATACATAAATTAAAAAAAATATAAAAAAATGTAATTTAATATTTTAATCAATGGTTGCGTTTAGTCTGTATGATTACGATAGATGGGAAATTGGGAAACCAAAGACATAATTTATTTTATTATTTTATTATATAAGTTTATAACTTTATTTTAAACTATATTTGATTACATGCTGCTGCATTTTATGAATCCTGTCCAGGGTGATAGTATCTAAACAAATAAAAACTATTTTTTGTCATAAAATCTTATCTATAATCCGTTATGATCTAATATTGAATTGTATTCATTCTAAAAATAATTCCCCCCCTAATTTCAGATTTCTAGATAAGCGCCTGTCTAACATGTTTTAAGATTGGTTTATTCATTTTACTGCACTAATATTTGTTGATATAGAAAAATAAACAAATTATTTCCAACAGAAATAGAAAGATGTATTTAAATATTATAATTTTGGTGAATGATTTATGCAACACCTTATATTAATTCTTTAATCGGTCAAACATAACATTTTAAATACATATTTGTTAAAACAATTACTTTAGTTTAATAATAACTTATACATTTTTTATAACAAACATAAAATAAAATAAAAAATAAATTAAGGAATGTTATTTTTACAGTTAAATTTGATTCCCCTTAATATATTTCACACAAAAACCTGTTTGATACCGTAAACTAAAATAGCCAATATCAAAACTGCCCACGAGAAATAAATTAGCCTATTATTTGAGGTTGAAGTACTTGCATCTTGTGGTGGACTACTATCAATATCTTGCAGTGTCTCATAGTACGAATGTCGTCCTTTAAACAAGTAAATATAATGTTAAGAATGATTATTACAAATTGAAAAAGTAAATATTACAATGTAAAAAATTGATCAATGTGCCAAGAAAAGCACAGATATAGATTTTCTGTCATCAAAAAATGATATTGATAGCAGAAATTACAATCCTCATGAAACACTACTAACCTTTTTCCAACACATCGTATAATTCTATTTTGTCTTCAGGTAGATTCAATATTTCTCCAGCCACATATAATGCTTCTTGAGAAGTTTCGCCAGGAAACACATAATCACTGAATGCAAATCTGGAACCTTCAGTCTTTATAATTAATATTCGACGCGGAGTTTCATGTACAATGTTTGCATCTCCATCTGAAATAAATGAAAAATATTGTATTCACAAGATATAATATTTTTAATTATTTTAAAATATATATCTATTAATTAAAACCTTCTTCTTCAAGAGATTCCTCTTCAACCATTGATTCCAAATGCATTTTTAAACGAGTTGCAAATGTCTGCATGGCATCTTCGTGAATAGCCTACAGTAATACATTTTTTATGAAAGTTGAAAATGATGAAACATTGATAATTACTAAAAAAAAATGTATTAATTATTTTGTTTAATTGTTTAATTATAATTACTAACATAAAAAATAAATTAAAGAGATGAATAGTTTTGTTAACTTTTTTAAGATAAAAAATTAATAATTTTGTTTGTGGCAAGACTTAAGTCCCCCATAATATTTTCAAAAACTAATACATGTACCATAGCCAGGATTTTCTTCTGGGGGCTATTCTTGTTTTACGGAGGCTACAATATTTTATTGCTTGGGACAGGGTACTACTGGGTATAGTAAGTTTGATATTTCAAGGGGGGGAATAAGCCCTAAAACCCTCCCCTAGATATGGCACTAATATATGCATAGTATAAAGAACTATATTTTTAATTGGCAGGCTTGGTAAAAAGTGGGTAGACTAAGTCCCCTCTATTTGCGCCAATGGTTAAGTTAGACAATTTTAACTGTTAAAGAATGTTGAATAATTTTTAGACTTTCACAAAATATGCTTCAGTAATTCCAATTGTATAATAGCTACAATTGTTATACAGCTAATAAACATAATAACTTAACTGTATAGCTTTTTCAATATTCAGATTTAAATGTTTTATACAAGATTGCATATTGAGATAACAGATAGATGATTCCCCAGTATCGTTAAAATAATAATAAAACTAAATAATATTACACCAAACGTTGATTTAGTCATTAAAAATAAATAATAACCATACCTTTATGGCATCCTTAATTGTGCCATTACGGTTAAATGGTACTGCTACACTGCAAAGGCCAGACATCAAAATCTTTCCCTTTCCTCTTTCTATCTTGAGTGAAGCATTTTTACATTCATTACCCAAATCAACCTAAGATATAATACAGACTTGTTCTAGATTTTAAATAAACTAAGTATGTTTATAATGTGGGAATATTAAGTATTAAACAAACCTTTCTGTAAAATTCAATTTTAACAACATTTTTCAATAAATTATCAATTTCATCACATTCAAAATCTTTAAGGGTTTTATTTTCATCACATACGCATCCATTAAAAGTATAGATTGATTCATTTAATACAGATTCAAATTTATCTAATAAACTCTAAAAAATATTTGCATAATAAGAGTAATACTGTTTTATTATAAAAAGTTTATATACATACATCACGAATAGAAAACAAAGCTTTTGGTCCACCGCCTACATTTAGTCTTTCTAATGCTCCAAAATTAAATGTTCCAATAAGAGTTACCCAATCATTATCAAATGATCCAAAAATTGCATCTACCGCCTTATAAGTTGTCTTTTCAAGACCATTTACTCGATTGAAATCAACTGAGTAACAAAATGATCTATAAATGAATACATATTATGATATAAAAATATATATTTAAATACTTATTGGATTTACAATATTTACTTTTTGTTGACAGTTGAATAGTTTAACATTAAGTAATTCCATGTTTCATTGGTTTTTTTGTATAGCAAATGTTCATTTAATACATTATTGAATTCACAAAAATCAATATTTATTGGTTGAATAGTTTTTAAATCTTGTGGAACAATAAAAAATAAACCAAGTACATGTGAACCCCCTGGTAATAACGTTGCTACCTACATAGTAATACATAAACGCATAAAATAATTATTTACTTAATAGTAAATTCTATATTTGAATCTTTCAATAATATTTGGAAACTTAATTAGATTACTTCTAAAGACTTTTGGAATATTGTATCACTATTGGCTAAAAGATCAGAAAGAGTTTTGTAAGACAAAACATCAATTTTATTATTTTGTATGTCTTCATTCCATATGGTCATTGCTGATAAGTGGACTACATGATAGTTGTTTCCTATGACCTAATTAAAAAAATATTAAATATTATAAATAAATTACTTGGTAAGTATAGGAATATACAATTAATAAAACAACTTTAGTTATTAGTTACTCACTTGTCCAATAATTACTCCTGGAATGAACGACTGTCCTTTAACTAAACTTTTCAGATATTTATCTAAATGTTCTTCAATAAATACTTTGGTTGTCATTTTTCAACTAATGAACACAATTTGTTGTAATTCTTCAAAATTCTAAACCAACAATATTAACTCAAAATTAATAATCAATACAAATCACAATAAAATAATTTTTATATTTTACACATCTTATAAATAAATGTTTACTATATTGGATAAAGAATAAAAATGTACAATATAAATCTATGAAATGATAATAGTTGGTAAAGACACTACCCACAACTACTAACAGTTTTGTAATGAAGTTACGAAATTGGAATTGTGATCTAATTAATTTTGGCAATCTTACGTCCACATAATATTCTATTTTATGTCGAAACGATTTATTATTCTTAATTCTTGCCTTTACTCGAGTTATAATCAAAATTTGGTATCTATTCAAATTTCACCAGGTATTTTTTTGTGCTGCCGTGGTGGTAGTTGTGTAACTGGAGTGCTGGATGCCTGGACAGCCTGCTGGTCTGTTGGTAATAAGTTGAAGTAACGTCATACAGTCTGTATACACAGTGTCACGGCATAGACTTAGAGTAAAGTACCTTCTCTAAATGCTCTATGTATGCGTCACGGCCACACGGCCACACAGACTTGGGACTTCTATCAATGAAGTCTGTTGCGGTAGGTAATTAAGATGTAATAGGTAACATATTATAATATTTTATGTTGTCTACGTCTTTTCTATATAGTTCTTACAATTTTTAGTTATGCTAACTACTGTAAGAAATTAGGAAAGTAAAATTATAAAGCGTACAATCACGATTGAAGATGTATATTGTATTTCTAATCGTGTGTAAGAGCAATGCAAGTATGATAGGTAATTGATAGCATGCGACAGACCACGAATTAATATCGTGGTACGGACTTGAGTCTTAGGTACCTAGTTATTGGATCGTATAATAATAATTTGATCTAAGGGCACGGACTAGAATATAATCTACCGTAGGGCGTGAACTAGATGTATAATCGTGATATTTGCATAGGGTCTTAGTGTTTGATAATAATTGGACACGTAATTGAACAAAATTGATAAGGGTTTGATTAACGGCATAGACTACCATACCACAGAATTAATCCACTTTGATTTATGTTTTATTCATAAATATACTATCAAAAATAATTATTGCTATACTATTTTATTATTACATTTATTTCGATTAACGCAAAATTTATAAATAATAGTATAATCACTGTGGTTGAATCACAGAATAACGTTGAAACTTAAAATATACATTACTTGAATATTATGGTATTTCAAGTTTCAACCATAATAATCACAAAGCAATAATATTATGATATTACGGATTCGTTTAATCAGTGATATCAGGACAAAATAAATTTATCTATTTATTCATGTGTGATATGCACAGCAAACTAGTAAATACCTGTCGATATGATAAAAAAATTTAATATTAATACAATACATATCAGTTGCGTACACAGCTATTTTCATTGGAAGGGGTTTACATAGGGCCTTCCCGAACTACAACTCAGAGGGGGGGGGGGATGTAAACTTTTCAATTTGCCTTTTCAGAAAGTTTTTTTAGCTTTCCTCAAAAACTATTTCTAATATTATATTAGATACATTACATAATATAATTAAGAATTTTTTTCTTATTTATAATAGAGCTTAGTTTATGTATAACTTCATTCAGGTATCTATAATACTATACTAGCAATTTATCATACTTTATTTTATATGTATGTACTGCAGTCTGCAACTGCACCCACAACGAATTTACCCAAATAAATTTTTTTTTGCAAAATTCTTACTTCAGAGTTCAGACGTTCGTAAAAAGTACCTATATTGTGAATTTACAAGTTTCTAGACCAACTGAAATTTTTTTTATCTTGAATAATTAAAAAAACCAACGAAATCAGAAATTGTCTTATACCTATAAACATTAAATAGCTTAAAAAGATTTTGTAGCGATGTCTTTAAGTTTATCCGTTGATATGACAACAGTTATTTATGTATACCTACCTATTAAATTTTACTAAAATATCAACTAAATAATTTGTGATTTTAAGGTGACTTAAATTAGCAATGAATACAAAGTTTGTTAGATCCATATAATACTGATTTTATTTATAGAAATTGTTCATCACAAAGTCCATCCATGATTTTTTTTTCACTGCGATTTGAAAATGTTAGAGAAACATTGTAATATAAGCCACGTTCGTCAGTTGTTCTGTTACTTGTGTTAGCCCAATTCGTGCAATTATCAGTAACATTAGGTGGCCTTTAAGACCTTTAAGTATGACATTGAAATTTATAGATTGACTTTTTAAAGAACTTATTGTTTGTTGGACCATTTCATAAGCATTAAAATCATTAACCATATTTGAACTTTTTGTTGCAAAATTGCCGACTACCGGGAGAACAATAGACCTTTATTCCTATATAGTTCAGCTAATCCAATTCCAATTATGAAACTAGACAACCACGAAAAAGTATCAATTCGGCTCAGTGGCTCAAATTTTTAAAATCCTGGAAACCCATCTATTCAAGCTCGATCACACGACCTGGGCCTGGCACGAACTATAAGATCTAAGATTCCACATTGATGTTAATATTTAGATTGATTATCCATTTATCTATGGCCTATATGTTCATAATTTATACCGATCTGAATAGTGAATATATTATATAGCTAGTATCACCACATATCAAATGCAACATTTAAAATGTGTATCTATTGGCTATAAGACCTACTTGTCATTACTCATTATTCAATAGGTAGTAGGTAGGTAAGTACTTATTAATTATTTTGAATTACTAATTAGTAATAACTTGCCACCAGGTGATTCTTTCAACTTTTAAAGACACAAGACAATTATGTTTTAAAAACATAAAAGGGTAATGATTCAAAGTAAAGCGTGTGCGCAATATATATATGTATTTATCTCTTTTTACTCATATATGATTATTGATTTATATATAGATATATATAGTGTTGTATGCAACTAAAAACATTATTCATCATTCATCATTCATCCCAGTCAATTTCGTACGTATACGGTATACCGATCGGTCGGCACTTGACATGTTTAAAAGTACATATTATACCTACTATAGTGTACTGTATGTCTGTATATGTAGCATAATCTCGGAATACAAAAATAATGAAATAATAAAATCTTAATCGAATATATAATCTTTTATTAAAACATTGATCGGGATTAACGTGGGCTTGTAGCGGGTTAAGTTATAGAGTTATCACCTTATCGGAATCCCGGGACTATTTATTCTGGTCCCAGTCTTCGTATTTTCGAGACCAAAAATTAACCGGGACTAACTAGTTAGTAGGTCTATAGTAGGTACAGTTATTGTAAATTTGTAACATTCCATTGTATGTATATGATGTTATTCCCTCTATTTTTTCAATGGTAAAACTAAAACTAGATTTGCTCATAATCTAATAAAATAAAGACTAGTCACTAATAAATAATAATGCATGATAATACCTATAGGAATTGACATATTATCATTCATATATTTAGAAATATGAATAACAATAATATTATCTTTAATTTATATTACCATTGTCCATTTGTTTAATTTAGTCTGACACTTTACGTCTTACTACAAACATAACAAATCATTCTCGCAGTAAACGACACCAGTTTTTTCTATCAATACTTGCAGTTAAGATTAAATAAAAAGTAAGTACCTACACGGCTACACTAAATTACTAACTAACAATAGAATAAATGTAATGATATTTTCTATTTTATAATTAAGCTGATGTCTTCAACAATATAAACCGATATTGATACTCACATTTATCTCTTTACCCTACTTCACCACTAAAAATGTATAAAATATTTTTTTTTTATTATAATTTTATCTAATCACCTAGTCAATTGTAACAAAAAATTTAAATTGTAATATTGTTTATAATATGAATGTTTTAATATCATATAATTACAAGCAGTTATTAAATAAGAATAATTTTTAAAGCGGCTTATAATAAAAACTTTGTAATATTACAATTTTTCAAAAAGTCAACTAACCGATATTATATATGTACCAAGCTATATTGATGCATTTAAGTGTTTCTTACAAAAGAGGAAGCATAAACTATTAATTTGAAATAAGAATTGTACACATTTTTTTTAAATTCATATCTTTATAAAGATAATATATTAACATAACAGACTATAATGCATTTTATGCAAATAAAGCTTCATTTTTGTCTCCATCTTATTTCTCGTAGCGTAATGGCAGGTTTTACGTTTATATTCGGAATAATCCATTTTACTAAGTTATTTTTAATATTAGAGTGCATTGAACAATTATCAAATTTATGACAATTTTAAAATTGCACATTTTTGTACCTACATTTAAACATTTAAAAATTGCACATAACTTCCTTTTCATATAGTTCAATTCAATAAGAGGAGTGAAAATATATAGGTATAACGATAACACGATCATAATATTATTTATTAGATGATTAAGTTAACTATTTTTCATATTGATAATTACTAAACATAAATGGTTGAATTTAGATAAAAATCAAATCAATATTAGTGCTTCAAATGACAGTCAGAAAAAAACACAATATTGTAAAATCAATATATTTATTGTTCTTCATCTCAGAATCATACAACATTATAATATTCACAAAAAAATATACTGTATACTCTATTATGAAATATAATTTAAAATGTTGTACAATTTTCAACATTTATTACATAGGTACGAAATAATTAAAATTTTTGGAATTTATGCTAAATAAAAAAATTGAACATAAATATTACAAAAGGTAGTCAATTGTTTATCCCTAATAGCACAATATACTCCCTGCACGGGAAGTTTCTATTTTATTGCTTTGCAGTTTGCTGGCAGATAATATTTTGTATTATATATTTATATGCCATTGACCATTGTTAATAATATATATATTTTTAAACGTTTTTAGATGATGACAATTGAAAGATAATTAATTTCCTAAATTATTTATAAAAAATTGCCTGACGCTTTATACTAGAAAAAATATCTATATAACTTCTATTTCGATAGTGATGGTTCCTTACTTCCTTGTAATAAATTGAATCTATAAAATTGAAATTCTGGGGGTCAAAAGTCAAAACTATATAGAACCTTTTTTTTTATTTTACAAGTGCACATACACAATCTATACATTTTGTACAATACGCGTATAGGATAAAAGTTAAAATATGGATTGCTTGAATATAAGAAGCCATCCATTACTCATTAGTGGCACTTACTTGACGTATGTTTAAGATAATTAAGGAAGGATATTTAATTGAAATGGTTAAATGGTTCGTAAGGTAAGGTTTAATTAAAATAAAGAGTAGCGGGGGTAAAAAACGCGAAGTTTGGACAGAAGGCCCTCGTGCCATACTCGGTCGAAGGCCTGGAATATGTCTAAGAATAAGACGGCTGTGCAGTAACATTTTTTTTCGAGAGATGTGCTTCATCCAGAATTTAAAAAAAAATTCAAGAATACACCTACAATATAACAAATAATTATAAATTTAATAAATCAGTTGATTGTAGTTTTATAAATATAACACTGGTGCCTACCTATAGCATTATGGCGCTTTTGTAAAATACGACTTTTTCCCTTATTTATTATAAGGATCATAGGATATACATATACCTTTACTGCTGGTAAGTACTTATGAGCTAGGTCAAAAGTTAAATATTCACAGTATTTTTCAAAATAATTAGTAAAATAGCAGAGCTATTTTTCCGGTTTTTATAGAAGATTATAAAAACACTTATTTATTAGTACATAGTACTAATTAATTATTAAATTAGTACCTACATACTTCTATAGTTCTGCAAAATTCAAAAATTTATTTTGGATGAAAAAATTATGTAGTGTAGTGAGAGTTAATTTTTGAAGTACCAAATTACAGTGAAGAATGAAATAAAAAAAGATTTTAACAAACAATTTAATGTCACCTACTATAACAT